AGGTCTTATAAAAGATCTGCATAGTCGGTACAGTATATCGAACGGGAAACTGATAATTATGTAAACAGATAAAGAATGATACTGGTATGTAGGCCCTACTGCTTTATTGAAACAGTAGACGAATATATTTATATTATTTTACCAACGTGCATAACTATAATAAATATAACTTATAACAATTAGGCATATAATAAAAGTATTCTGTAATTTATTTTTCAATAAGCCCGAAAATCCTATGGAGATTATACGATTCGATGAGGCCTGCCAATTCGCCATTAATGCCTTGCAGACGTTTGTCACTTGCATTCAACAAATAGTCCCAGTGCATGTAGGTTACCTACGATATTTATCACATTACAATGTAAATGTTGACTCCAATGAATTACAAAATAAATGTGTTTTTACCATTCACCCAACGTGCGTATTTACGACCAAACCCGTTGAAACGCACACCCCGGTAGATGCGCCTCGTCAACAAGCGATCTAACGGTGCAATGTGTTAACTCGGGTGCAATACTTAACACTCGCGTGTACGACTTTACACTCATCTGTTTTGACGTTGATTGTTTGAGGAGTAGATGGGGGTTTTGTGATATTTCGCACTGGCATCACACTCTATAGCCAGCGGAGATGTGATAAATAGTTAATACATAGTGATGAAATCGTCATACTTATTTAGTATAAGCATTAACGTTGAAATCGGAAGCGTAAATAGTGCATTAGGCAACGATTTGATCTGCTTTTGTGAATTATATAGGAGAGAGTAATGGACAGGGATAATATCTTGCCACTTAACGTTAAAGTTTAGATGAGCTACTTTTCATAATCGTGGACTTCATTTCGAATACTCAAATGACATTATAAAGAATATGATCCAATTATATGACAACAATTGCACTCGAGTATGGATGTATTTTTGGTCTTCTATTAAGATAAATTTAGCTGTTCTCTCCTTCGGGATTTTTCTTCCTGATACTTAAATATTAAACCGATTTTACTTTTTACGATTAATGTTTGTTTTTCTTTTCGATGCGGAATTTAGGATTCACATTTTAAAATCAACCACGTTTGTGCTTATTTCTTTACATTAATAAGAACATGAAATTCGGAATTGGAAAATATTATTGGCCTAATTAAATTTGGTGGTATGATGTACATTTAATAGGGTATTTAAGAATAAAAAACGTTCATAATAATTTAGATTTGAAGACCCCACCCCCATCCCCAGTATCTGATAGTTCTTCCAAACGGAGCTATTTATTGAAAGAGTTATTGATTGGTTGCAACAATAAAATAGCTTCATCTTCGTTAATCCACTTTCAATTCTACGATGATTAAATCGAGCGGAACAGTTCTTTCAATCACTGTAGGTCTCACATGGTGTATTCACATACTGTAGCAAAAAGAGCACTCATTGATTCTTACAGATTCCCACGCAATCTGGAGGTTTTCGACGCCTTCACATGGTCACTATCGATCAATACGGTAGCTACATCCAGCCTACAATCGACTAACTAAACACGTGGATATGTTCTCTTGTATACGTAAGCCTGTTAGAACAATACGCAAGCATAATCAGTAAATACACAGTTATGGGATTATAACTGGAGTTATGGAATTATACTCGTGCTTGAAGATCGATTGAACAATAGCTTGTTGATGGAAATTATATTATGATAGTTGTCGATAAAGTTAGCGAATATGGCAGTGATTGTTATCCGTACGATCATCTCTGCGTACTTGTTGATAAGTCTGATGTGTTAGAATATTGGGCCTGCGTGTTTCATTTATCGTTGTGTGTTGACAGCCAGATCAAAACTCAACTCATTTTAATTGTTTTGTCGGACATTAATCCATTTATCTTAACTTAAAATTATCCTCCTAAATAAACACAATGCTTTTCATTGTTTTTTTTTTGTAATGGAAATCTGACATTATTGTAATAAAATTCGAGCAAATCCCCATCATTATCAGAAAAGAACAACTCATTTTGTGAGTTTAATGTAGTCGATGTTAGTTCTTTGTAAACCGGATAAAAACACAAACTCATTGGATATACTGTACGGTACTTAGTATTATAAAAAGTAACCGAGCAAAGCGTCTAATTATATTTGTTTAAACTATGAATTTCGTTCATTAAATTAAAACTGTATATGCCTATATATATATATATATATACTCTCTTATATACATATCTATGTGTGTAT